GATTTATTTTATCGTATTTTCCTACATCAATTACTATTAGTTTAAACCCTATATAAAGGGTGTCTATACAATGTAATTGACAACCTTTGATAATGAAATGAATTGATTTCTCCCCCAATTTCTCTCTTCCTCTACTTCTCTCTGTGCCTTTTTTCTCTGCTTCTCTCTCCTTTCCCCTTCTTCTATAATTCTCCTATTAAATCCTACGTCAATTTGGTATCAAAGCAATTTGTTCTCTTTTGACCTACAGTTTCTCACATCCAAAAATACACCAACCATTCCATCCAATCCAGAAACATACCGCCACCTTCCAACACCCATTCAAGCCCAATAACTACCTTCATCTCAGCAGTAGCAGCATTTTTTTTCTCTGATTGAGTCTCTCATTTCACAAAAAAAAAGAAAAAGGAACGTCGGAACTGTTCACCGGCAACGGTAATTGAATTAGGTTTCTGTTATTTACCTTTGAAAAAAAAAAAAAAGAGGTACAATCGTCTTGTGTTACTGCTTGCTTTTTTAACTTTGATACTGCTGCTGTTCTTCAAATGTCTCCATATGCAACCCACAACCCAAATCACCACGTTACAACTTGCTTTTGTAACTTCGTTACTGCTGCTGTTCTGCTGTCCCTGAAATTATGTTCAGCAACATCGACTTAAAACCCAAATAACCCATTAGCCCACCAAACATGCATAAATAGGAAATGATGGAATATTAGAATAGATAGTAGTATATTTATTTTCCAATTTTAAAGTTTGTTTTAGGAAACATAATTAGGGATTTATTTTATCGTATTTTCCTACTTCAATTAGTATTAGTTGAAACCCTATATAAAGATTGTCTATACAATGTAATTGACAAACTTTGATGATGAAATAAATTGATTTCTCCCCCAATTTCTCTCTCCCTCTCCTTCTCTCTTTGCCTTCCTTTCTCTGCTTCTCTCTCCTTTCCCCTTCTTCTACAATTCTCCTATTATATCCTACGTCAATTTGATATCGGAGCAATTCGTTCTCCTTTGACCTACACTTTCTCGCATCCAAAAGTACACCAACCATTCCATCCAATCCTAAACATACCGCCACCTTCCAACACCCATTCAAGCCCAATAACTACCTTTACACACACACAGACACAAAAAAAAACCTTAAAGCAGTTCAAAACACAAGAAGGATCATCTCAGCAGTAGCAGAATTTTTTTCTCTGATCGAGTCTCTTATTTCACCAAAAAAAAGAAAAGTAAAGAAAGAAAAAGGAACGCCGGAACTGTTTACCGGCAACAGTAATTGAATTAGGTTTCTGTTATCTACCTTTGAAAAAGAAGTAGTTACAATCATTTTGTGTTACTGCTTGCTTTTGTAACTTCGTTACTGCTGCTGTTCTTCAAACGTCTTCATATGCAACCCACAACCCAAATCCCCACATTCCGGCCCACTACAACGCTGTCCCTGAAATTATGTTCAGCAACATTGACTTAAAACCCAAATAACCCATTAGCCCACCAAACATGCATAAATAGGATATGATGGAATATTAGAATAGATAATCAGGGGCGGACGCAGACAATTAAAGTTGGGGGGCACAATCGAACTTGCAAAAAAGTTGGGAGAAATTTTTCAATTGAAAATTTACATCCAAAAAAATCATACCCCATGTAATTTTGCATCCGAAAATTTACATGGAATATGACTTTTCCGGATGTAAAATTTCGAAATTTTTTGATGTCATATCCTATA